AACATAGTGAAACGCAGTCTCTGCTAAAAATACAAAAATTAACTGGGTGTGGTGGCAGGCGCTTGTAATCCCAGATACTTGGGAGGCTGAGGCAGGAGAATTACTTGAACCCAGGAGGTGGAGGTTGCAGTGAGCCGAGATTGTGCCATTGCACTTCAGCCTGGGCAACAGGGCGACACTCTGTCTCAAAAAAAAAAAAAAAAAAAAAGTATTTAACAATATGAAACGACTTCAACTAACAGTAATAATTGTGACTGGACAACTCAAAAATGTGTTTTAAAGATGGGACATCAATTTTTAATATTATTTTGTGGTGTAAGAGCAAAACATTGAAGACTGATGTTCTAGACCAATCTCACCTAAAGCACTGAGTGGGGACTCAGTTATCCAGTGTGGTCAACTTACACAGCTACAACTACACTGGTAGTCTTTCTCCAATATCTCTTTCACCTTCCCTGGAAAACATTCCTTCCCTAAGGACATCTTGCCTGTGATTGAGCAACTTATTTAATCTCCGAGGCCCATGTTTTTGCCTCTGTGTTTAAAAACACGTATTTGAAACATCTCTACTGAAACATAATCTTAGAGTCATTTAAGTTAATGTGATAATGTGATACCTAATTCCTTCTAAGTATGTGTATTTGTAGAAGTTCTTCCCTTTAAATAAAATTAAGATTACAAACACACACATACATGCACACATTCACATACTGCAAAACATTGAGCAGTAAAAACTGAACAAAGAAAGAATCCTACGCTGACATTGTATTTTTTCAATAAGTGGTGGCCAGTTTGAGTACCCGAAGATCACCACTATCCACTGATGTACATCCTTGCCTACACCCTTTATCCCACCCTGAAAGATCCCCTCTCTGCACTCTGTCCTTGCCATTAGCAGTGCATGTTGAATGAGTTGTTCTCAGTGGTTGGGCTGAATAGCCCTGAAGATTGGTGCTGATATATGCTACTGAGTTACAGACTGAGAAAGTTGTGAGGAGACTGAGCTCAACGGCAGGGGCTCAGTCAAGACAGAGGCAGTGACTCAGATGGAGGACTGGACAGGCCAACTTGAGACTTAGCCATTGGCTGAAACGAAGATGTTTGTCAGAAAGTTGATGTCCGAAACTGATGCTAAGGCTTGGCTATTGAAGCTTAAGCAAGAGCCAAAAAGAAAAAAAAAAGAAAAAAAGAAAAGGACCCAAATCAGGTAATGGTTTTCACTAGACAATGGAGCCTGAGGTCATGGCCAAGCCAAAGGCTGAGCCCATGCCTAGACACTGCCCTATTAAGACTAAAGCCAAGGCATGAGATGAGAAAAAGGCCAGCAGAGGTTTCAGGGTCAGAACAGATATGATTAGGTTGGTGCAAAAGCCATTACAATTTTTGCCATTACTTTTAAAGCCCAAAACTGCAATTACTTTTTAGAATTACCCTTTAGTTCTATTCAGATTAATAGCCAGAGCTGACACTAGCATAATATAGAGATGATGGATGCACAACACTGTGAATGTACTAAACACGACTGACTTGTACACTTAAAATGGATAACTGTATTTTACGTGAATTTCACCTCATTGAAAACAATGGTATTTGAAGTTGTATTTGTCCTTGAGGATCTTATCACCTAGGTGGGTAGACAAGAATAATTGAAGTAAAATGATTTGGAAATGTTTTTGAAGTTAAAAAAGGACAATAGAATTTGTAAAAAAAAAAAAAAAAAAAAAAAAAAAAGGTCAAAATTAGAATTCATTTTCTGTTTAGCTACAAAAAAGTAAACATTTTATAAATTGAACAATATGTAGTTCTTTAGACTAATATTTAGTTAGTGTTTTTTTGTCCTTGATAGAAAAAAATTACTTCAAATTAAGGCAAGAATGAAGTGTTGCTTTGGGTATGATCTTTACTGAGGATCTGATGAGTTGAGCTTCAGACACTATTTTCTTTCAAAACTGAGCTTTGTTATACAGTTATTGTAAGAAATCAGAAATCAGAAATCAGAAAAGGACCAGGTAAGGTTTTCCTTTAGTCCTAGAACAAAATTTGAGTACCTGTGGTTGACAAACTAATGTTCTTAACTGTTACAACTGAAAATTCTTTAAGAGCTATGGCTGCTGTAGATACCAGGCCTATGTTCAGATTTGCCCAAGATCTCAATTTTGCAATGAGAATGATCTCAATTATTGAAAACAATAATTCCTACCCTCAGAGTTAGTTTAGGACTTTACATTTTTTTTAATAATAAGAGTAAGAATAGCTAGCAATCAAATGAATGAGGACATAATTTCTTATTTTTCAACTCAGCCATAGAATTGGCTCAATTGTTAAATGATCAAAATATTATTAATGACTATTAAAACCAATAGACACAGTAATCATTATCTCAGAACATCTTGAACTGTCAAGTAGAGGAAACAAATTATGTCTTCTGAAATAGTTTAAAAATGTGTCTAAATATCTAACCACGACCAAAGGACTGCCTAGCAAAATAAGTACCACCATTTAACCAGAAAGATAAAATACTTACTGCATTTTTCTATGAAAAAACATAAATTAGTTTCCAAAGGAGACTAGCTATATTCTTTATTTGTTCACTTAAAATTTACTTCCTTCACCTCCTGATACCCTATGATTCATGAATGTAAAGTATACACTAAGAAATATACAGTCTTGGCAGCTAATCACAATGAGGCTGAGGTTAGATAAAAAACAGTCCATGATTAACAATCAAACTCTGATTTTCCATATGCTCTCAGTAAGCCTCAAGAAAAGTTTTAGTTTTGCTGACTGGAATCAACATATTTTATAAATAACAGCATTAGTACAGATATCCCCCCTACTGTTCTCTGGGTTAAAAGTGAACTATATCAAGGGTCCTAAATGAATATAAAGATTGAAATAAAATTCATGTTAGCTTTTATCTGGATACCAGAATGAAAATTTTTATTTTGTATTTTATTTTCATGAGCTGATAGTGAACATATATGTCATATTTTCATGTTATCATTGTACTGATTTGCAATTAACTATTTGAGACATGATTTTTGAATATCACTGGTAAAGTTGTATAAGAATTGGCAAAGGAAAAAAAAAAACCAGAAAGTCCATTAAAACTTCTTGAATATACCATAGGGAAATCTCATCTTAAAAAGATACAGCATAAGCCAAAGACAGAATAATGGCCAACTCTGAAAGATATTAGCTCTAGCCTTAAAGCAAAACCAAACTGTAACAAAACAATCAAATAAAAAAGGAAATCCCTTGAGGCTACTTTATGTTATTAAACTTAATGAGGACATAAATTAAATAAAATAGAAAATTTTAAGCTATTTGTGTATCTGCACATGCAAAAAAGAGTATGTGTGTATATGAGTGGAATAAAATGTAAATGAAGATGAGAAAGTGAAGACAAGAATGATCAAAACGACACATACAAGATGAAAAATTATAAAGAACATGGAACAGAGTAGCAATACTTAAACATTAATTTACTCATAAAGACAAGTCTGGAGATAACTGCATGGAATTCAGGGATTAGAAACAAAGAAGAGTAAGGCACAACAGATATTATAAACAAAGATAATAGTAATGGAGATAATGACAAACCATTGTAAAAATTTTTAATGTCCCTGAAGTTAGAAAGAAAATACTCTAAAAACCATAGAACAAAATACTTGTAACAATGTATTAGAAAAAAAAACACTATTTTTATTTTTTTCTTCATAATCTGGATGAGGAAGAAATAACTATTTTAGGAAAAAAAAAAAAATCTACCTTTTAAAATGGTACCCTCCATTCCAGGAAACAACCTAACCAAACTTTGTCACAGAGACATTATGTTTCCTAAAATTACAAAGGTCTAATTTCCAACATTTATTTCTGACAAGCTCATAAATATTTGTTGGAAAAGAAATACAAATTATTTGATAGAAAAAAGGGCAAAGAATGAGAAATAATTCTGAGAAAAGTAAAAATAACCAACATACATAAAAAGTTGTGGAAAACATAAATCTTCCCAGTAATTATATCCAAGTTCAAGTTTAGTTTGTTTATATTCAAACAAACAATGAAATACTATTTTTAACATATCAGTTTGTTAGAATTTTTAAAAGGTTGAAAATACGTAGTTCTAGCAGAGTATAGGAAAACACATGCTATAATAAACTTTTGGTGGGAGCACAAATTAAGTAACTATTTGAGTGAAGAGTGAAAATAATGAACAATTTATTATGCTGTTGAGGGAGGGAGACATATTGCTTAGAGGAGAAACTTATTATGTAGGAGCAAGAAAGGCACTGATGTGGTTTGTCTATTTCCCCACCTAAATTTCATCTTGAATTGTGGCTCCCCTAATTCCCACGTGTTGTGGGAGGGACCTAGTAGAAGATAATTGAATCATGGACAGTTTCCTCCATGCTCTTCTCGTGGTAGTAAGTCTCATGAGATCTGATGATTATATAAAGGGAAACCCCTTTCACCTCATCCTCATCCTTCTTTTGTTTGCCATCATATGAGATGTGCCTCTTACCTTCTGCCAAGATTGTGAGGCCTTCCCAGCCATGTGGAACTGTGAGTCTATTAATTTTCTTTCTCTTGTAAATTGCCTAGTCTCGGGTATGTCTTTATTAGTAGTGTGAAAATGGGCTAATACAGACACAAAGTTTAACATAAAGTAATTAAAAAAAAAAAAAACTATGCACTTGAGACAGAGCCTGGGAGAGAAAAAAAGCTAAGCAAATATAAAAATGAGAGAAATCAAAACAAATAGTAAAATATTTGCCTAATTTTAAACATAAGAGTGAGGGCAGCTACGACTCTATCCAGGGGAATGTAATCAGGTAGATGGAAGGCTCAGCCAATGCTGCATTATGCAAACTGCATTACAGAGAAACAGAGTTCTCCAATAATTAAAGGAGAGCATCCCAATTAATTCCACCTTGGGGAAAGCTTGGGTAGGGGGAAAGATTTGGAAAACATTTCTGAAGGACACTAAGAATGAGGTCTGAAAGAGGAAGAGTCTGATTTTAAGCACAGAAAAGTTAACTCAAGCCTGAATGCATCAGGAAGCAAGGATGCTTCCTGTTAGATGAGCTTATTGCTTCTCCACCAGATTGGTACAGTCATTTTATATAAATAGAAATGATATTCTTGTATTGATAGCTCTATCTCTATGTATGCTATTATTGAGCAATTAGCTGCATCACCTTAAGGCTCACTCACCCTTTTAGAAAATTAAAATTAAAAATTTGAGTACTTTTTCAGTTATAAAAGTCTTATCTTTATGGTAGTTTTAAATAAAAGCATATCAGATGACCTTTAATAATTTTACAGAGGATGAAAAATTTTATTAGCTCAACTCTCAAAAACTCTTTTGTGCTTGTTGCATTAGATCATTGTACTGTCAAGCTTTTCCAGAGAAACAGAACTGATATGATATGTGTGCACATGCACGTGTGTGTGTGATAAGAATTGGCTCAAAGGTTATAGAGGCTTGGAAGTTCTACAATCTACCATTTGCAAGCTGGAAAACCAGGAAAACCTGTGGTATAATTTTATTTCGAAGGCCTGAGAATCAGAGGGAGGGGGAAGTGATCAGATTGGATAATGCCCATCCACATTGGTGAGACTGGTTTTTTTCACCTATCTACCAGTTCAAATTCTAGTATTTTACAGAAACACAGACTTACCCAGAAATAATATTTTTTCAGCTATCTGGGCATCCCTTAGCCCATTTCAATTGGCATATAAAATTAACCATTACATTACTGAGTTATTTTCTCTTTAAAAATGTGTATTTTCTAACTTCAAGATGTGTTTAATAAGATGTTTAAACAATAATTAGATCCATGAGCCTTCACTAAATTTTCATAATTAATTTTTTACATTCAAATAAAAAGTATCAGAAAAAAATTAATTCTTGTGTATTTTCTATATTAGAGAAAACACAAAGATAGTCAAAATCATGTTACATATATTATCATCTGACACTATGAACAAAGCCTATTCTGAATATTAGCTTGCCTGTAAAATATACACTTAAAATGATAAAAATGTAATATGAAATTGATAGACATGATAAAACTGATCTTTTTCAAACTTTTTTATAATTTATGATGGTATTAATCATGCTCTTCTCTTGACAGTTATAAAATAGAACAAAGGCACTAATATAATTTTAATTAGCATGTGCTCTAAAATTGTTTATTTGATTTAGAAGGTAAATATGAAATCCGTGTAATCACTTCTAAAAATACATCCAATTTGTTTCTTTGGCATATTAGCCTTTTATAATTTGCTTTCGTTTTTAAGACAATATTTGTAATATTTCACATGGATGTAGTGAATCAATTTTACAAAGCTATACTGAGTTGGAAGTGTAGGCAGCAGGAAGTTATAAGGTTCACTAGACTGATTCCGAATAATAACTTTGAGGGGAAAAAACCTGGCAGTACTGCAAATAGCTCCTGATATTGATGATAATCATGGGACGGCAAGTGTATAAATATTAGTTGCCTTTCACTGTATACCAGACACACATTATCTATTTCAATTCTGATAGATGATGATGCCTAGGGTAGGAAAAGTTGACAAACCTGTCTTATGTATAAATAACGGTAAAGCTAAGATTCACGTGTAGGGCTTACTGACCCTACAGCCTATTCTTTGTTCCCCACATCACTCCTATTTCTCAAGTTAAGTGGGAGAACTCACAGCTGTGGAAAATGAGTATGTAGCTAGAAACTAGCACTCATGTGTTGATGCTGAGCATCAATGCACCATCCCTTTTGTTCTTCAAAGCAGTTAATAGGTCAGAAATGAAAGTTTACAGTGTGTAATGCAGAGGAATCCAGTAAAAGAAATAGAATCAAATTGTTTAAAATTATATCGAGGACAGACCTCTGTTTAGGAGAAAAACAAGCTCCCCAAATGTGATTGGCTGGAATACTTGAGGTGGAGGTGAGGAAGGAAGTTGCTGAGGGAGTATCTCAGTATATAGATAGATCCCTGTGAACAGGGTGTTCATTTCCACTTTCAGATGTTTTGTAAACCTTTGGCATCTTAGCTTTCTAGCCCCACTACTGCCATGGTTCAGAACATTCCAACTGTTCACATGGACAATTTATTTCTTTCTCTTTTCATTAATGATTTAACATTATGTGCCAGGCATTGTTCTAGGTACTGCTAGTATAATGCTAATATTTTAAATTTTTGACATGAAAAATAATGCTAGTAGACACAGCCATTCCTTGTGGGCATGGAATTCTGGACAGTTCACATTGTGAGGGAGTATGCTAACAAAAGATCTTGAATTTTTAAATAGATTTAACAAAAATATTTAATAATAATGAACATATTTACCACATACTGACGAGTGAAAATACAAACTTATGTAGCAGATAGCAAAACATGGTTGTAGTTCTGTGAAAGGTACATTTTTATGTATATTAATGCAAGGAAAAATCCAGAAGGCTATTATGTGTTGCACACAGTAGGCCCTTGGTAATATTTGTTGAAAATATAAATGAATGACCAAATGAATAACTGAATATGTCAGTATTAGTTTTCTCTGAATATTGGAGTGGTTTTTTTTCTCCCTCCTACTTCACAATCTGAACATTGTATCATAAATACCTAATACTTTATAACTGTAACTAAATATAATTTAAAAATATATTTTAAAAGAGAACAATTACAGAAGACCAATTTAAGAGGCAGCAAACCACACTGCCATGTGTGTACCTATGCAACAATCTTACATGTTCTTCGCATATATCCCAAAACCTAAAATGCAATAAAAAAGAATATATAAATGACCAATTAAAAGATGCTCAATGATTTAGTTGTCAGATAATTGTAAATTAAAAAACGATTTTGATATTTTAAAAAAGTAACTACAGAACAAGTTAAGGTAGGAATAATTTACTTTCTTTATGACTGAAAAGGCAGGGAAGATATGAGTGGAATTTATGGGCTGGTTATACACATGACAGCCCCAGTTCCTTTTTAGGACCAGCTGTAAGGGCTAGATGCTTACTTTACACACACTGACACACTAGTCTGTTCTATCACTGTCAATAAATACTAGGGAGGACAAACATCCTGCTTCATCCTATCTCAAGAGTCTCTAGTTATTAATTTAATGGCATTCCACTCTTCATACATTAAATCAACACAGCTTGCACACCAGCAGGACAGCCTATGAGATTTCCTTGCTCTGCTGCAAGCTCTTTAAGGGTAGATAATTGTGCTTTTTCATCTTTTTATTTACAGCACTTAATACAGTATTAGGCAAATACTAGGTATTTTGTAAAGGCCTGTTAGATTTTTCTTACACTGCTTTTCTACTATTGGTCCTGAATTAATTTAAATCCTTCTTTATTTTCTAGTGTAGGTTTCCAGGCTATTAAGAATAAATCTATAGAATAGTTGACTTTAATGGTGGCTCCAGGTGGCGGCCATGGAGCAAAAGAAAGAACTTTTTGAGTATCATATCTATGCAATTCATGTCATATCAACAGAAATGGTGCATCCTAGAAGCTGGGAGGACAATGTTAGTAAGTACCCATTTGCCTTACTCATGCCTGTGCATGCACACACACATTCACTTGTAATCAAGCACATGTTTTGCTAAGAGGGGTATAATTTTTATTAGAATTTATCAGAAAATAATGGTCGGATACAAATACAATTTTTTAAAAAAACCTCTCACTGCTAAGCCAAAACACTTTTGGAACTCTAATACCACAAAACAAGTGTTTATACATGCATACACTGACTTATAGTTTTGTTTTAACCCCTTGTTTGATGCACCATTACCTCTTTGACCAGGTGTCACACCTGATTCTGTGTCCTCTCCGTTTGAATTATTTTCCTATATCTTGAAGTCAATAAAACTGCCTGTCACATTGGCTGCTTCATTGCTTTAACTCCCCTGAGGATTATCTCCCCATGCCATTAACAATAAATTTGTTTCTCAAATTAAATCATCATTGGATCGAGTGGAGACATGAACTCAATTCTTCAATTAAACAGTATGGGGAACCATATTACAGATGAGGTATGCAGTGATACTGTTACTTAATCCTTTTTTCTCTACTTTATTCTATAACAATTCATTTTCCTTCTTAATTATTTTAGAGTTATAGTAATTTTAAGGGGCTTTCATATTTCATACCTTTAAAAATATACTTAATATAATTTTTCCTCATGGAGGAATCATAAATTTAAGCACATATAGAATTCTTACATAGCCTCTTTCTTTAGAAACAGAAATGAGGTGCATTTGAAATAAGATTACATATGCTTTAAGAGAGAGATGCTTAAAGCAAAAAGAAAAGAAGATAATAAAATATTTGGACTTTTAATTGAAACATTTTTCTTCCTACAGTCTTTGCTTATTTATATTCGGTAATGTACTGTGAGTTTATTTCTCAAATATAAACAATAGTTTTATATTCTTTACCATTACCACTCTCCATTTTTTTCCCTGGCAACATTGTTACCTTTTCTCATATATTGTTGCTAATTCCTTCTCATTTCATGACCTATTAACTTAGAATATATCAAGCTCAGTCACTGAACCTCTTCTCTCAGTGGTGTTCCCTCACTTATTTGAATATCTTATCCAATTACATAGCATTAAGTGCCAGCTATATGGTGACAATACTGAAATTTTTATCTCCATGCCAGACCTCTATCTGACAACCTCCAGTCTCATGTATCTAATTACCCACTCAACATCTCTATGTGGATATCTCGTAGATGCCCCAAACTTAGTGTATCCTAAATGGATGTTCTTATCTTTTCTCCCTCATTCTTAACCTGATACTCCTGAAATGTTTCCCATCTCAATTAATGACACTCTGTTTTTTACAGTTACTCGTGACAAAATGCTTAGGTGCTGTTATCTGATATCTGACTTTTACCTTCAGTTGCTTTATCAAACCTGTATGTAAATACTTTAAACTATATCTATAATCTCACCACTTCTTATTGTGTCCTCTACTTCTAAGTCACATTTACCTTTCTCCTAGATTGTTGCAATAGTTTTGATCACTAGAGAGAGGTATTTAGGACAGAATATGCTTTAATAAAATTTACATTTATGCATACTGAAATTTAGTGTTTATATATTTTCTCTTTGGTCTTAACACTCATGACTATTAACATAATTGGCTATCTGGAATTACTGAAAATTGCACTAGGCCCAATTTGTAGCATAGGAATATAGTTACTTATTTCTTGTGATTAACCTCGTTTATCCTCTAAGATTTCACAAAACTTGAAATCACAAGGAGGCAATAGTTTTTATTCTACCCCTTCCCTCTGTGCCAGTCATTTGCCTTTTCTCCCTTATGTTCATTCTTTCCCAACCTTGTTTTGCTGTGTGTAAAAAAAAACTTGACCCCTAAAAATTGCATTTCCCCAAATTCCTTGCCACCTGGCTTCTGCTTATATTTAGCCACTGGGAAGGACTGCTGGGGGCTTAGAATTTGGAAAGAGGGAAGAGGCCGGTGTTCTTTCTGCTTCTGGCGGCATATGCAGCAGCAGGGAGTGGTTCTAAATTGCCCATCAAGGATAACAGCATAGGCAATAGTAAGTAAGTACATGCTCTATGTCATCTTTGGAGGTTCTAGCTGCACTGCCTGAACGAACATTCAGCAGTAGGGGTGTCAGTACAAGTACACTGCAGGCTATAGTAACATCACCTTTTCCCTTTGCTTCCTTCAGCACTGGGCAAGGTATGGAAATTGCTGGGTGACTTCTGCTTCTTTGCTTTGGTCTTGTATTCTTTTCAGCTTTTTAGTAATCAAGTCCCAGAACTGAACCTCCTTTGTCTTAAGTTCCTTATATGGTGTTTGTTCTCTTGACTGAATGATGACTCATGAACTCACTAGCCTTCAGTGTCCCTGAAATAGGAAAGCTAATGTTCTTAGTAAAACATAAATCATATTATATTACCTTTTTGCTCAAAACTCTTTAATGACTTTTAATGCCACTCCAAGTAACACCAAAGTCCTTTACACTTTCCTATAGGGCCCCACACAATTTTGTCCCTAGCTACTCTTTTGATCTCATATCCTAATACTATACTACACTTATTATTTATGTCTCACTCAATACATTAACCTCTATGATTTTCCTTGAGTTCTTGCTCCCACTTAAGGATTAATCTCTCCCTATTCCCACTGCATGTGGATGTTCTTCCTAAGATTTTGACATAGTTTATTCCCTTATCTCAAACAGATCTTGGTAGTCTTTTTAGGAAGAGCTTCCCTGTCCTCCATTTCCAAAATTGCATTGCACCCCTGTCAACAGTCTTCCATTCATTTTCTGTATAATACCTCCTTCACTAACATGTTCAATTTTGTTAGTTTATCTTATTTGCTGTCTGTCTCTAGTCAGTACAATTTTTACTCCATAAGGGTAGGTATTTTGATTGTTATTTTCATTGGTATGTTACCAGATTCTAAAGCATTGCTTGGATTGATTATGGTTTTTTTTGAACAAATTAATTAATAATACTTTAGAGAGGGGCAAGAATATCTGGGAAGGGACTCCTAGGAGTCACACATAAGCAGTAATTATGGCTTGTATGAAGATGCAACAATAGAAATTAAGAGAGAAGACAGATTCAGATTATATTGATGATACCTGTTTTAGATGGTAACAGCCTATGTATATAACAAGGCAGTGTAGGTATGGCACAATGATTAGAAGGGGCACAAAAACTCTTCCAAATGAAAGTGTGGGAAACATTTCTTTTTCACCATTTGTAATCTAATGCTTGCACATCAAATGATTTTTAAAAGAAAGCATACGCCCGAATTCTTATCTATTTTCCTTCTC